AGACCTCTCCGCGATGATAAGCGGAGATTTAGATTGCAAAATCAGTAGCTCTAGTTGCATTATCACATTATCACAGGTTCTACCATTATCACATTAAAGACAATTTTAATTGTCATTACTTTTCATTCCATTTTATTAAATTTAAATTAATTTTGCATTATAAAATGTATGAATACTAATACTATAGTAAAATATTCAAAATTTATTCTAAAATATGCACCATTAGAAAAGGTATGGCTAGACAAATAACACGATAGTAAATTTACAATGAGTGATATTCAGAAGTTCACATAAAAGTCGAAAATCAATCCGAAGAACAAAATCTATAACAAAGTTTAGATTTAAAATAATTAGTCATACACTCTAACGATTATATTCTAAATAGAGTAGACAATGCCAACTAACATGGTCCACATTGGTTCTGACATGGTAAGTGAAAGAGTCGACAGTAAAATATTTTTAAACAAAGCTGTCTTTCTATTCTTTTCGATAATTTTTTCAGCATTATTCGTTAAATAATGCTTTGACAATTCTATATAACAAATATTTTAGTGATATAATTTTATCGATCGTTAAATTGCCCATTGGTTATCCGTTATACTAGAAGTATGTTATACTGTAACACACGATAGTGTGTTACATGTAAGCATGTTCAGTTTTGATATACTTGTGTAAAACAATTGGATGGATATAGGTTAGCTTAAGTGAAGTCAATCTTTCTTATAGATAAAAAAAGAACTTGATTCCATAATTCCTCGTTATAATGGATAGAACAAAATTAATATTGTCATGTCATGTATTGTTTGGGAATGTCTGGCCAATGGTAATGCTGGAAATATTGCCAAAACTGTTAAGAAAGGGGGCACCCAAAAACTTAATCCTAGTTCTGGACAAGCCCATACATAGACACAGTATGTGTTCTGGTGTCTTTTCCTTAAACGGCAGTAGCCATGCACATCAGGAGATACTACAGGGTAGGCCGAACTTAACCCACGCTATCTTATAGACCAGTGCCCTGTTAAAACAAATATTAACCTATATACTTCTAGTTTGCTTCTGTGTACAAAGTCAAAGGTTCTACATTTGGAGTAAATTGGCCATGTAGTCGTTGGCCTGTCATAGTGTATCCAATTTATTTCATCGAATTGATGAATAGGCAATGACAGTGCGGGAGTCAGGCGATTATATAGGAGTAAGAATGGATTAGGGATGGATGGGGTTTTAAATGAGATGATCTTAGGCCAAACTTATTGAATTCAAGGGCAGATCAAAAAATCGATTGAAGTCAAGTCAATTTGGGCGTTGATGAGTTTTTAATTGAAGTCAACCTGAATCAAAGCGAAGAAACCTGAACTCTTTAATGGGGCGATTCCAAAAATTGGTTGGACTCAAGTGCATTGGTATGAAAACAGACGGGTAAATGCTTTACTGGCATCACGTAGCACATATTAATAAAGATATATTTTAAAGAAAAATCGAACTTGAAGTGTCTTAAACCTAATTTTCAATGTTAACGTATATTTATGTTTATGCATACATATTGATAATTACTAATATGTAAATGTAAATTCAATTTTTGAGTAAAAGTGAAAGTAAATATTGTAAGTTTTGTGCATGCAATACAAAAAGGAGAAGCAAATAAACTATTTACATTTCAAAGTATTTAATTAAAGGTAATAAATCAATGAATAACCAAAAGTAGAAACTATTATGCTAATTATAAGATAAATACCAAAATAAAATTGAAAGAAAAAAAAAAAAAACAATTATAGTTAAAAAGTTTGTAAATTTCAAAAATTTGTAATTGAAGTTAATAAACGTGTTCGCGTATTAAAATAGTTTCGATGCGAACCCATGCAACGCCCTGTGGAAATTCGTAAGCCAAATTATAATTTTCATATGAAAAAGAGTGGCAATGCTGCTTTGCTTAACTTTTTCTTTAACGTGTAAAATTTGAAATTACCATTACCGCATGTGTACCGTGTGTATGTATGTGTGCGTGTGATTGGCTGTGTCGAAGATAGACCACTTATTGAGTTAGCGCTGCCGCCGGCTGACTGTAAGGGTTATAATATAAGCAAGCAATGGCATAATTGCAATCATTACTCCCCGCTAACATTCACATGAAACACACAAAAAAAAAAACAAAACAACATTAAAAAGTCAGAAAATGTGTAGAAACATGTGCGTTGTTGTTGTGTTGTTGGCTTTATGTTGCGGCAACATACAAGTTGTCTGCACAGTTGCAAACACACACATACCACATACATATGCAACACTCAACCATATACACAAATGTGCAATGAGAGTTGGCTAACTTCAGTGCAACCGCTTCAATTTACAGATTTGTGAATATTATTCGCTGAGCATAAACTCAAGTTGTGGCCTAAACAGAAATGATACCAATAAAATTGATAAATGTCTTGATTTGTTGCTGTTATTATGTATTATTTTTTAAGTTTTTTTTTTGTTTTTGTTATACATTACTTAATAGACTTTTCATGAATTGTTGTTATCATTGCAATTATATGTATTGCTTGAATTTTAAGTTGTTTCGGTTGTTTTCTTTATTGCTTATGCAATTTTTATAGTTGGCCTATAAATGGGGCCAACGCTTTAGCTTGTTGTTGCTCTTTTGGTTACTGATTTTCATTTTACATAAACTTTATTAATTATCGCATCGAATTATGAATTTTAATCAGGTTTTTCATAGTTTGGATGGAGGCAAGTACAACATGGACATTCCGCACTCAATTGCCATAAGAAATTGATAATTAGTTTTTATGTGTAAACAATTAGTCCATTATGTGTGGGATTGTAAGAGATAAATTTTGCAGATGTTGCTTTTAATAGAGTCGGTTTTATTATTGATCATTCTTCAGCATTTGATTTTATAACAATAAACTATCTTACAATCAAGATCGGCATCGCTTTTAACAAAAATACTACTGGTATGTAACATATAGCTTAGATCAGATTGGATTAAATAGGTTGAAGTGGCGATCTTGTGTCCAAGAAACCCCACTTGAACTCAAATAATGAACCGTTGTGGTACCACAGGAATAGCGAAGACTGAATGGTTAGTAAAAAGACCAACGCCGAACGGCAATGACTCCCCCATTAGGTAAAAGTGAACAAATCTGACAATTCTATGAACTTGGCTAACTTTCTAATTATGTACGATGACAGCTTGGTTAGGTCAGTAAAAAAAGGGGCCCCGAAAAGTATGAATAGAGAATAAAAGCGCAAATCATTTCCATATACAAAATACTTCACATAAAATAACAAAAAATACAACAAAAGTTCACTTTCCAAATAAATTATGATTGAAAATGTTAGTCAGATAAACTTTAACTGCAAAAAAAAATTATATTTTAATTTTGTGGTTCGAAAAACTGCCAAATTCCATCTCGAAATTTTCGAATAGCTGCAATACGAATAACAAATGCAAATTCAGATATTTGAAGGTATAGAATTCATAAAAAATCAGATTTTTTTATCAGCTTCGGAGATTTTGTTTCCTATCCGTTTAATTGGATTCTTAGAACAATTCGTAAAATCGAATACGAACAGCAATAGTTTATACTACTCATTCAACCAAGTTCAATACAGAAAACACCGGGCCAAACTCCTCTTGATATAATTTTGTTTTTAATTTTTGAGTTAGGTCGAAAATAGTTTAAAGTCGTTTTTTAAGAATTTTAGATTTTATTTCGATGGATATTTATAGTATATTTCTATACTTATACTTAGGAGAACTCCTAATATTCTCTTAGTATTTTAGACTGTATAGACGTTGAAGGTATTACACTTAAATTCTAAACATTCACAACATCCTTTACTTTCGATCATTTATTATCTTTTGTCGATTATGTATAGCTGTGCCAAAATTCTTCATCACCTCCAACCGCTATTCAGAAATGAAAATCTCAATGCTAAGAACAGGAAACTGATACATAACCAAATAATTCGTCAGTCACTTCTATATGGTTGTGTAGCGTTTAGCAAAGCTTCAAAAACTACTATTCACCAGCTAGAAACTGCACAAAGCTAGGCTCTGAAAAGATTTTTCAAAGTTCCATGGTACATTAGGACGAATGACATCCTCAGAGACATCAAGATTGATCCCATCAAAAAATACATAAAGAATAGAGACCTGAAATTTTTACGAAAACTGACAGACTTACCAACACCGCGTTATCAAATCTCAAAATGGTTACAGGCTCCTCGGGGTGATATGCAGATCTGAAGTCAATTATTGCTTAGTCTGATAAAGTGATAAACAATAATCTATTCAAGGTGTAAAGAGGGGTTTTGAAAATACCTCGAGTTAAAAAAGAATATAAGTGCTTAAGTGCACTAGCTCAAAACAGCTTCAACATAATAATGTATAGAAAATATGATATTATGTATTATAGTATCATCATGATACCGATTATAATACATAGTCGGTATCATGTATTCTAAACCGACCTCAAATAATGTATATAAGTAGAAATATTTATGGTAAACTTCTAAAAAATATGAAAAAATTTCCCATATGTTAGTTTGTATTTTAACCAACTAAACTTTATTAATATAGATCTTATCTGAAGACAAAAAATGAATGAATATCTTGATTTTTATATATATTAAATACAATTAATTAAATAAGGATAGCCTACTATTCAATTATGATTATACATTTCCAACACTATGCAAATTTTATACTTTAAAGTTAAACAAACAATTCGATGCAATTTGTAAACTTTTTCTAAGTGATTTATATATTTGTATAGCTAATGTCATCATAAACAAAAACTCCTACTCAATAATTATAATCTCTATACAAAATATGCAGTAGTCCCACTGCTTCAGTGCAAAGTTGAATAGTTATTTTTATTTATCCTTTACCCTTTATCAACATTCTTCAATATTATACAAAACTATTGTAATATTATATTGTAAACAATTTGTGAAAGTTTTTAAGAAAACTGCAATTGCAAATGCAAAATATTTACCTTTCAAATTGTTGATAAGCTCAATGACCTTTTCGAAGCAACTGCAAAGAGGAAAAACACACAAATTATAAAAACGCGTAACAAAAAACGAGGAAATTAATACTAACTAATAGGAAAGTTAAACTGCATATTACTAAATCTAAGCTTAGTAACTAAAGCTGATTTAAAAAAAAAAATAACTTCACAAATGAATGCATAAAATTCGCTTTTAAGCTGACAGCTCTGACATCAAACAAAATAGACGTTTTAAGCTTAGAAATAGCTACACTTAAAAAGTAAATAAACGAAAAAAGAGAATATATAAATATAAAAGAAAAAAATTAAATAAAAAATATTAAAAAAATAAAAATAAAAAAGTAATAATAAAAAAAATAAAAATAAAAAAAATAATAAAAAATAAAATAAAAATAAAATGCATCTTGATATCTATAGCAAATGTGCAGATACAACGTCTAAGCTGTCGTGTAAAGTACAGTAAATATGGAATAAACGATCTATTCAATATTGTATTATATTTTATCATTAATAGTTATAGTTTGCGAATAATAAACCAAGCACTTATAGGCAGTTACAAATTTCTTTTATGCTCTTATAATTTTTACTATATGTACATTTTTTTTTATAATTAAAAATAAAACAAAAACCTAATGCTGATGTATGTGAGAAAAACGTATTGTTTATTTGTTTTATTTTTCAATGTTTGCAAATAATTAAGATACTGATGAATAAAAATTTCAGCAAAAAAAAAAGAAAAAAAAATCTCAACTCTTGACGCCTGCGTAACTCTATGAGGCGTTAATATGCAAATCACTGAATTTATGAGTGACTCTGATCATGTGTGTATCTATCTGCTTGCTTACTGATTACTGTTTACATACGGCTTACATATATGATAAAAAAATAGAAATATGATTTATATATAAAATTTTTATTGTTTATATCCATGACTGACAGGAAATAACGTACGGAGGTAATGATATTTGCTGTTCTAGACGATTTGCGGCTTGATTACTGTAGTTGCTTTTTTCTTTACTTTAGCAATTTTCTAATAAAATCCATAAGTGTAAAAATTACTTACTTAACAGTATAAATAAAGATAAATAAACTTAAGTGCTTAAATTGCTTTAATATATGAGCAATAAGTTTTCTTTACATTCTACATAGAATATCTAGTAGCTGTAGTAGTACTATGTAGTACTAAAAAAATAATAATTTATTTAAAAAATATATTGAGTTTAAAAAGTATAATATATGATTATTGTATCTTGGTAATTTGTACCTGTTAGTACCGATAGCAAAATTATTAAGTTGGAATTTCGCATACTGAAAAATTTATTTATAAAAAATACAATAGAGTCGTTATAACCAACATTTCTAAAATAGATTTGAAAATTTATTGTTTATCTATATAAGAGCTTTCCAAAGCACGTCCCGTGGCTAATCTTAGGCAAATTTTTTATTATTCACATTATTTTATTTTTATGGCATCCGAAATAAATGCATTAAAATGTTTTAAATAATTTATCATACTTCTCGAGAATTTACTTAATTAGCAAAGATTTTATTGTAAAATAAAATTGTAAAATATAAATTAATGTGAAATTAATAAAACTTAATTTATTATTATTGCCCTATTTTTATTTTTCTTCGCAAAAATTATGAATGTATGTATTTAATTCTGCAGCCCTCCAACCTATTCAGTGATTTGTTTTAGCCCGCGATCTTATCTGGTCAGTACAGCTCCAGCTCTGGTTTAAACGATAAACCTATTTCCTTTCTCACCCGTTTATTTTTGTCTAGGTTTAATAGGTTCATTCTTTTATTATTTACCTATAACACTAAAAAGATTACTGTTAGATCTTAAAAACAACTTGATTTAAATTGAAAAAAGAAACGTAATAGTCAACAGCTTCAGCTAAAACGAAACCAGATTAGTATTATACTATCGGGGCTAATAGATCCCTGCATGCTATGAGACTTGGTCCAATCCGCGTTTCATATTTTTTATTAATGCTCATCTTTCATACTAACTTGACACAACTGTCTTCCTCTAAAATTAGAAACATATTTAGCCACCCACCTATAGGGTTTACTTTCATTTGAATAGAACAGTTGTGCCTTTCAGCGTTGTTTATGCACTGATCACCGCGGTCCTTTTGGGAGTCCCTTTAGTGTGCGTATTAACAACATTAATCGTAGTATCGCAATGTGTTATTATTTGAATTACCACCGTAAACTGACCTAACCCAGTATTATAAATAAATACATTATTCTTTGCGCCCTTATATTAATAATATAGTAAATAATATAGTGTTAATATAGTGGTAAGTTTTAATTAAATTTTTATGTATTATTCTATTTTGTTCATCGCAGTTTATATTATATATCTCCATTATTGTGCGTCACTTGCATTTTAAATTAAAAATTAATTATTAAAATAATATATTAAAACAATAAAACACTTATACAATTAAAAAAATTAATTATTCTGTATAATTAATTTACAATTATAAACTACAATCGTTTTAATTTCATTAAAGTATGCCAATTGCTATCAAGCCTCTTATATTGCTATATTAACGCTTGTATATATTAATTGGTTGCATAAATGCAAATAAGGAAATAATTATGTCGTTAAATTTTCTATAAATAATATAGATATATATGTCAACAATATTTAAATATCCAAAAACTGCAATAGTAAGAATATTATTGAAAAAAAAAATCTTGTTAACCGACACTGACCTAAAAAATTCATAATAAAACCAGAGCAGTTGGTCAACAATTAAAAGCGAACATCACCATTCGATAATGACTTGCAACAAGCCTATGTATTTCTCTATATAAAAAAGTATAATTCATAAAAAATATACTTAGCAATTTTCGTATTGTATTGCTGCCAACTGAGTTTAGAATTTCAAGTTACTTTTTATTTTTAATTGTTCGTTCCACAGACATTTTCATATTTAACATAAAATTACGGTCAGTAAATCGAAGAAGTAAAAAAAGAATTAAGGTAATATGCTTTTAGTGTATTATTTCTAATTGATGTATTTATTAACAATAAAAGTGTATTGTTTAAAATCAGACAAATTGTGAGAGTAGCAATTAACTTATAGATATATTCAATGGATTTCCTATTGCTTTATGCAATTTTTATTTAAATTTTCTGAAGTCTCAAATATTATATATTTAAATATATATCATAATTTTGTATATATAATATATACAACTAATTACAATAAAATAATTAAAGTAAAATTATTTAATAATGGTTTTTATATATTTTTTAAAATTTTTTTTTTTAATTCAACGTTTAATATTTTTTAATATATTCTATATTTCGACTTTCCTTGAGAGTCATCATTAGGATCACGATCTAACATAAATTAATATTAGTATAACTATATCTAAGTCATACTCATTATTCTATCGTTTATATTGCAATAAAAATGTATATATAAATGTGGATCTGACTTGACTAAAAAAGATATTTTTTTAATAATAACATTAATAAATATATAACACATTAATATTAATAAATCATACATTAATAATACATAACTTTAAAAATAGTTTTCTCAGAAGATAAAAATGTTTATAAAAAAAAGTTTTCAAGTAAAGAACTTTCCTTTTTTTTATATATAAAAATAAAGACTTGGTATGACTTGTGTTAGGTAGTTTTAAATAAAGAGTACATATCATTAAAATTAAGTAAACCGATTCAACAGTATAGAACTAAATTTTAAATATGGCATAAACATCCCATAGAAAAAATTACTTTCAGTGACCCAAAATATTTTCACTTTTTCCAGTAACTTCTCTAGTTTGTTTCTCTCGTAAGAACCTAACTCGAACTATATAAAACATTTTTAAACAAAAATTAGTTCATTAAATCGTTTAACGTGGCAACAAACAACCGTGATAAATGATGTTACTTGGGAACGTGTAGAGCTGACAATATGTGTACAATCCTTTTGTTATATATGAAATCTACATTCATAAATATTTACTAAAAAAAAACAATAAATATATGATTCATGTAAGGCTTCGAATTCCTATTTTTTCGAAATCTGGTAAAATATTTTTGAAATTTAAAACGGATATGTCGACCCTGAAAACGCTTATATTATTGCTTTCTCCAGTAGTCAAATTTATATATATTTTTTTTATATTATACTAAACTCATAGACCTGATACGCCTAAGTAAACGTGAAAGCGAACACTAGAGAAAAAAATCCAAGCAAGCGGGAAAACCTTTGGAGAAATTAAAACCCTGGCAAGAAATCGTGACAGTTGGAAAAAGTTCGTTATGGCCCAATGTTCCCCTGGGAACGTGCTGGAATGAAGAAAAAGAAGAAGAAGAAACAGATAAACAGATCTCAATAGATATCCTAAACAGATCTCGACTGCTAATAAATAATATGGTTTTAGAAAAACACAATAGCATTACTACCGCCATGTACAATCGTCACCCAACATACAAATGGTTCAAATCAAATAATTATGACTAATATATACACTTATCAATTGATATATTTGTTAACAGTGATGACTATGTTAAAGCTGCTAAAGAAGATGTTTATATTTAAATTCAGTATGTGGTTAGAACACTGTATTAGTAACATGCTATTTATTTCATACTAAACACAATTCAAGCAATCACAAATCTTAAGAAAAGAATTATGCATTATCTATATATGAAATAGTATAGTGTTTCAAATATATAACCTCGGTTTAGTTTTATTTAAATATAATACAACATTTGTATTTACCGAATTTTAATTTCAGGTTTTCAAATTAAATGTAAGAAATTATTTATATATAACCCAAAAAATGGAAAAAAAAAATAATAAATCACATTTAATTAGTAACGAAAAAGTATTCAATATTACCGGTAATATTTTCCAGTTTCACACCTGGTTAGCGTAGAATGAATGGTTAGATTACTACATCTCAGCCAATAGCTGTGATAAAAGTGCAAACTGCCACATGCCACATGCCACACGCCACTTTTACAGTAAATACGATTTAATGTCGC